CATTAAAACAGATTTTTTTATCTTAGAATTAATGCACAATGTAGTCTTCTGAGATTTTTGCTGAATGTATCATTTGACCTAATAAAGTCTAATTGAAATGTACTAAAAAAAAATAAACAAATGTTTGAAAATTTTTTTTTTTTAATCAAAAAAGAAATTTCAAAATATAAAAATATGATAGATTTTGGACTGAGTTTGATGTATCAAAAAAAACATTTAATGACATTAATTCAACCAAACCTTTTTTAAAAAAAACTGACTATCACTTGTGTGATTGATTCAATCATTAACACTGAGAAACAAACAATTTCAGAATTATTGAAATTAATGGCATTGAAATAAATAATAATTTTTTAATTATATAGATAAAAAATAAACAAGACTTAGCTATTTAATCATTTCTTTGTATGTGAATGCCTCCATCCATCAAATATTCATGATGGTCATGATTATTATTTGATACATTTGATGTTATAATTGACATAACAAACAATTGCATCACCCAGGTAGTAATGATACCAAGGCCATGCATAAATGAAACTTTTAATAATGTGTGTCTACCCAGATCTCTGGGGTTCACAATAATAAATTACTTTTCATGATTATCAATTATGGTTCCTTATGAATAATAAATCTGATGTTGATCGCAGGTGCCAGATTTAATCAAAACTTCCTATCACAAACAAGCAAGCGTCATGCAATTGCACACCTCAAACCATGAGATTTTCCATTCCTACAGAAGAGGTAAATTGAACAAGTTGGAAGGCCTTGGACAAAACATTTCCTTATCTTCCCCTCAGACCAGGCTTGGATGTCCCCATATGGGCATGAATATCAGCATTTGTGTGATGATTGCTGCATGTTATTTCCACACTAGCATAAAGTTGGTGTTAAGACTGGCTTGAAAATTCTACAACTCAGGAGGTTGCAACCTGGGTTGCTGTTTTGGATTCAGAGTTTTGAGTCCTGGGTTGCTGTAATTTTTATGAAAAGAAAAGTATTAATATTTAACAATCAATTATTTAAATGTTTATTTTGTTGAAAAAAAACATACATTGATAGTGTACATTTTCTGTGCTTAACATCCATGTGACCCTAAGTCTGACAAAAGATCCCTTTCTATGAGTTTGGCTGGTACATCCCAAAGGCGTCTCCTGTCTTGTCAGTGGCATGCTTACTCACCAACAACCCTACCTCCATTTACTTAAATAACAAGTTCAGTTTGTCAGATAAAAATTAAAGAGAAGCAAAAAATTTGGGAAAATGATTAATTTATACAAAACATACCAAACAAAATCTGAACCATTTTATAACTTTTTCCTTGTTGGCCATATTGCTGACAAGGATGTATATAATCATGCGATAATTTTAACCTACAGGACAGGAAACTGATTGAGCAAAAACCCATCTAGTCCTCTACCCAAAATTATAAATTGGTTAAACAGAGCATTTACGAAAATGATTATACAAAACAAACACTATTTTACAACTTCCCTCTTAACATCAGAGTCCAAATGCAAATTCAGGCCACCAACCCTGCTCTGAATTGCGACCTCCTGTGCTTGAAACAAGTTGCAGATTCTCTTAATATTCCTCCAGAGTTGTGATAGCTTGGTCACAGAGCCATCCTTGCCCTAGAGGTGGGATCGTTGCAGGCAACTTTTCATCCAGCATGCCAGCAACCATCTCTGGTCTGGGAAGATTAGTGAAAGCGTCATTGAAGATTGATGCAGTCTTGGTAAACTCCAGGGCATTGCTACCCGCCCCCTGGAATTCAGTAGCATCATTGTATCATCGGGGGATCAAGTCAGATTAGCCTTGTGTACACGAGGAAGATGAGAGAATGACTGTAAAGTGTTCAAGGCAGCGTGCGTGCTTCAATGCCTGCCAATTTCCGATAATCAAACATTGCATATTCAAAATGTTTCATATTCAATGGTGTATTGCCTTGACATCTTCTTGTAATTATATAGTAATATTAATATTATTAATGATTACGCAAAGCAAAATATTATCAATGAAAATCTTGTAATTACCCAGCAAGATCTGCTCCATGTTTTGATTCCAATTAAAATATTTATAAGCTAAAATAAAAGACACCTCATACATATCAATACAAATAAAAAGTAGTACCTCTGGTTAGTTATTAACACGTATTCTTTAAGAGACCCAAGCCAAACCAAACCAAACCAAACAACAACACTCACGTTTTGTCACCTTGGGCCCTGTCAAAAAATAAATTGTTTTTTGTTTTTCCAAAAAAGAGAATTCGCATCTGTCCTACCAAAAAAAAAACCAATAGGATAAATAATCAATGTGTAGGCATCGATCAAATAACAAACATCTTTTTAATAATGAATAAATCAAACGAAAAAAAAAGAAGAAAAGCAATTGCACTTGGTGAAGAAAAAGGATAAGCATTTTAAGGATGGTGGTGGTGGTTATCACCTAGTAATATTAATATTATTAATGATTACGCAAAGCAAAATATTATCAATGAAAATCTTGTAATTACCCAGCAAGATCTGCTCCATGTTTTGATTCCAATTAAAATATTTATAAGCTAAAATAAAAGACACCTCATACATATCAATACAAATAAAAAGTAGTACCTCTGGTTAGTTATTAACACGTATTCTTTAAGAGACCCAAGCCAAACCAAACCAAACCAAACAACAACACTCACGTTTTGTCACCTTGGGCCCTGTCAAAAAATAAATTGTTTTTTGTTTTTCCAAAAAAGAGAATTCGCATCTGTCCTACCAAAAAAAAAACCAATAGGATAAATAATCAATGTGTAGGCATCGATCAAATAACAAACATCTTTTTAATAATGAATAAATCAAACGAAAAAAAAAGAAGAAAAGCAAACAATTCTGCAGAAGCAACAAAACCTGAGTAAGTGTTTCAAGGATGGCGGTGGTGGTTATCGCCCACTGCTCATCGTCACTCTAGTTGTTGAATTATAATCCATCGTCATTCTAGTTGATTAACAAAATTTTAATCTTTTTTTAGAGCACAAATACCACCAACTATTACTCTCGAAGCTAGTACTCTTTAATAATCTTGAAAATTTCTTTTTTTTTAACATATTTTCGATTAATTTTATGTCTTTACTACTTTTTTAAATTCTTACAATATTACTGCGTTCAAACTTTTCTTCCCAATGTCGTCACTCCAACCACTATGCATCAATTGCACAGGATCACAATAATCTCGAATGTAATATCAATGATGATGGTGAAAAATCAGATTGCAAGGAACTTATGCCTTCAAACGTTTGTTATCTTTGATTATAAACTCTGTGTAGATATGTTAGCATTACGTAATATCGATTATTGAGAAATTTTTGACAGGTAAATGATAATTGGATAACAAGAAAATGAAGAAGGATTGAGAAAGGTATTGCAAGATACGGTATAATTTATTTACCAGAATGCAACAAAAAAAATGAATTGAAATCCGCGTTTAGTAATAATGAGTGGTCAGTACTTGAGAAATGTTTCTATAAGGTAATGAAGATTTTTTAATGTTAGTATAGTGCAGAATTTATCCATAAATTTGTGATATCTAAAGTTATATTTTGTGCATAATATAAAACTTTAGAAAGAGAAAGAAATCGCAAAAAAAGTCTTCCCGTTACTTAATAAAGTAGAAACCATTCTAGGTAGATATCAAGAAGGAATAAAAAATGCAGAAGATAGTGGACAAATAGGTTTGGACGCGATTAATGTTATTTACGATTATCCAAATGGATATAAATTTAGGAAGAATTGGCTTGAAAAATGGGTAGATAATATCTATCAGAAATTGTAAGTTCTTGTCATTTACCATCTAGCTTGTAATTTTAAATTATTATATTTATATTTATTCTAAATTTTGTTTGAAAGCTTGACATGCTTTCATCTACCTAGAAATGTTCTTAATGATAGATTTGCGAGTGAGTACCAGTATAGAGATTGGATTGTAAACACTTTATGCAAAGATCTTTTCATTGAATAAAAAATAATAATAATCTTTAAAGGAAAAGAAAATCAAGAAAAACATGGCGGGGGCTTTATTAATTGATCATATAATTTACAAAATTATATGATATGTGCATTTTTAGCTTTTCTACAAGCTTACCCAAGATCAAGCAATGACTGAGATGTTATTTAACTAATATATAACATATTATTATATTAATAATGATTTTTATTCATTATTAAATAATTTAATAATATTAAGCTGCTATTCATCAGAACAAAATACTTCATTTTAAAATTTAAATAATACCATATAAATTTCCTTGCCAATTCTATTAAATAAT